AAAAAACACATCTCTAAAATTGAGTCAGCTGTTTATTTTCTTCGATAGTTTGGCTTAAGTTGAGTTTTTTGGACCCTGTGCAGGACACAGTTTCATCTTCCGGTCGTTAGCTAACAGACTTAGGTTAAATCCTTTCATGGTTTGTTCGTAGAGGTTCTGCCAGTTCTCCGTCGCATTCTTCTATGACGTTACGCAAATGCTCTCAATATCAGCGAGAGTCATTGATTTAGGACATGTCAATGTCAGTACGGCTTAAGGGAACCCCACCCATTCTCGATTTTAATTTTTCAAGATTTTCAATGGGCCGGTAAATCAATACCAATGCTTGTTAAGGTTTGTAACTTTGCACATATATAATTGAAGATTTAAAATAGAAGAAAAATAATTTACAAAAAATTGTTGTTGTTTTGTTGTTGTTTTTTGTAATTAAAGAAAAGTCCTTATTTTTGATGGCATGATAACTCCTCACTGGAACATCGGAATCCGAAAATGTACATGTCTGGCTCTCGTATGAACTAGGATTATTAACTTCGCTCTAAAATTAACAAAATGGTGGACCTTTGAAAAAATATTTTTGGAAAATCGCCGATTTTTTCCAAAAACCAAGTTAAAAAATAAGGAAGATCTTCACCGATTGGCTTTATCCTAGTTCATACGAGAGCTATACACTCCCAGAGAAACGTTGCAAAATTTGGAACCGATTTTATTATTAATTTTGGAGTTATCGTGCCCGCCATTCGCAAAAAAATTTTTAGAGAAAAACGCGTTTAAAGTTTGAGAAGCCCTTCAGCCGTCACTTGATGCTGACACAATAAATCGCCTATATCTTCAAGAGTCTTGATATTTTCACTTGAGCGACTCATTTTATTATTTAATCAGTGTAGATTCGAATTATATCAACAAAAATGTTGACCCCGTTAATGGGGGGGTCCCCTTAAAGAACATTACGCTAACCTGCAACTTGCTGATACTCGGTTTGGCGATCCACATGATACTAGGCCCAGAGGTTTATAACGTCGCAAACTTATTCGAGCTGTGGTTTCCCATAGGCCCAACTCACCACTTCTGTTTGAGTGATTACTGGTTCATAAAGACTCAATGAGTCCATTGATTATAAACAAAAATTAGCGGATAAGATCTCGACGAGCTATTGTTGGATTTTGCTGGACAAAAGAAAAAAAAAAAAAAACCTTTAGCATATGTTAAAAAAAAAAATAAAAACCGGTTTTGTATTAATATTGTAACTTATCAGGATGTTGCAACGCGGGCGGCAATAACTAATTTGAAATTTAATTCAATTTGAATTAAAGCGTCATTTATTTTAAACAACACACGAACACACCGTACTATGCTATACAATCCTGTTTTGTGCTAAAGTACTAAATGTTGCAATTGTTCCCATAAAATGAGTCGCTCGGTGCATATAGATTAACTACACTTTTAAATTAAATAAAAATTAAATTAAGGTATCAACGTTTTTGGTATAGTCATAATTTTTATACTTATATTAACTTTTCTGAATAAATTATAAAGATTATCGCCATTATGTGTTCTACATTTTACGGTTGGATTCATATAATTAAATTAATTTTTAAAAATGACATGTATCGTCGTATTTATTCGCTTTTCACTTTATGGAGTTAACTGATATGTGCACTGAGTGGCTGAAATGATTTTGTTCCTTTCAGATGATTTTCATTTAAGAGAAACCCGAAAAAACGTATTTGGGGAAATAAAAAACATTATAAATGTCAAGTTCTAATAAAAATTTGCGCTAAAATATCTTTTTTTATTTTATAATTCGTGGTATATATTTTTCTTTTTGAAAGAAGTGTGAGTGTGTGTGTATATACATATAAACAAATACCAACTGACCGTCATTTTAAATGATCTCAAAGCCAGTGTAAATAACCTTAATTTATTTTCAGGATTTCCTATATCCCCATCATATAAAGTGCGTATGTAAATGCGCTATAATTGAAATTGAAAAACTTTCCACTTTTAGAGTACGGGAACAGATCACATTGGATCATATTTACATTACAACATATATACATACGTATAGATATTTTGAAATATATAAAATTAAAACTTTTGCATTTTTTATATTTATTATTTTCATATTTATTTGCATGTTTTGTCTTATAGCGTTAACGCGCACAAAGAGTTAAAATATATTTAACTCATAAAAGTGGATTGACACATAACAATTGATCATGATTATCATCAAAAACATGATTTTCGAGTTATATATGATGTCCGCTATAATAGACCTCATGTTGTGTAAAGACTTCATATGAATATCTCTTAAGGTAAGGTCACACTAGGCAAATATTTGAAGAAAAGTGTCTAATATTTCTTTGCCATAATCTAAACACAAAATATTTTCAATGACAAACACAAAAACAACAGATTTTATTTGACAGCAAACAAAATTTTGCGTTATTTGCTCACAATGCCTTATTTTTGGGCATACATTTATTTGCCCTTACAATATTTTTGTAAGAACAAACAAAAGAAAATAACGGCAGATTCGTACATTGAATGGGTTTTTATATTTGGTATATTCCCTTACTGCAAGAATCTACTACTTTTTACTACGATAACGAATTTTATTTTATGACATCGAAGAAAATAGTAAAATCGAGTAGATTCTTGCAGTACGGGAACAGACCAATTCATGTACATATTGTTATTCCGATTAAATTGTGTTGTTCTGTAAAATAGTGTACACTCACTTCTACTCTTCTACGACGTTTTGTGTTGCAATAGGAATATATACATATTCTATTTTCATGACATTCTTGGTGGGTATATGATATACATGTTTAATCAATAGAAGTCCATGTTTAAAGATAGTCCCCATTTTAGTTATTTTGAATACAACATTTTTCCACCGAATTTCAAATAATGGTACCCCTCTAGTTTGGAGCTTCTGCAGTGTTTTCCAACCAATATCACTGTGATTTGGAATTTCGAATCCTTTATGAATGAAAAACTTGAATTTTTAATATGATTTTTCCATGTTTTGGTACGGGTAATTTCCTATCGCAGTTTCCATTCTGATGGTCAACATTTCCATTTCCCAATGCATACATTTACCCCTAGGAGAAAAATTTAGATATGACCTTCTGTTGAAATCACTATAGAGTTGAATGAATTGAAGTTAGTTTTTGACCGGTATTTTTGTGGATTTCAGAAATGTTTTTCTACCATCACAAGTCATTTTAGGTATGTTCAGGGTCCTGAATTTTTCAACTTGATTGCTTGTTTGGGATTTTAGGTATTATGCATTTTCCCCTTATGGTTCAAACCGGCCGAGCATTTTCTGACAGTTTTATCAAAATTTTTTTGCTGCAAATAAATTTCCAAATTTGATCACACGTCAAACATGTTGAGTGTAATATGAACACGAAATCAAGAGTGCACACATTTGACGTTTTTTTTGGGCAAACAAAATAAAAGACATTTGAGTCAAATATTTACCTAGTGTGACCTTTAATTGAGAAGCTGTAGAAGTTCCTCTATCCCATATAAAGTGTGAGTAAATTGTAATTTTTTTTGTAAATTTTTGAGTTATGCCTGTCTTGCAGCAAGTGAACAATATGTTGCCCATAAACTCGATTACTGAAATGGTACCAGCCTAAAAATCGACTACGACTTTCCATTGTTTCTATTAAATTCGATAAATCGATAATTAAGGATGAGGTACCAACACATATGCCTAAATGACACATATTGTTGTCAAAAATCGATTACTAAATTGGTAACAGCCTAAAAGTCGACTACGGTTACACATTTTTTTCTACTAAATTTGATTAATCGATTAGGAAAAGGACGACATATTTACCCCTAGAACATATGCAAGATAGGGGAAGAAATTAAAAGGGTGTCATTTTATTTCGGTTAACGAAAATCTCTTCGTTAATATATTACAAGTTGATACAAAAATAAAATGTATTACCAGAGGCGATCAAAACAATAAAAAAAACTTCCCTCTATGTGAAATTGATGTATATATACCAATTGGTTTACGTATTTTCAGTGTCAAATGTACAGTGTCGAGTGTATTGAGCATATTAATCTGCATGAAAACTCCCATCAATGGCAATAGTCAACAGAAAGTGCTAATCGTGTATTATACCCCGAAAAAAAACAAACGGGTTTCTAAAATCTTTACTAAAAGTGAATAAATCAGTCAATCTGAAGCATTGTATACAACAAACTGATAATGCCTTGTGTTTTTCTATCAATCATCAACGTCCCCTTTAAGATTGTATAACAAAAAGTTTTGTCGTATGTACACACGCACTGCCAAAAATATGCATGTGTATGTACGTTTTGGCACGTGAATGGTTACACAAAAAATATTTCGGACAATTGTATTGAATCCTTAAAGCTATTTTTACCTGAAATAATAAAAAAACATGATTACTACAGTTTTCACAAAGATTAAGAAGTCGCTCAATTCATGAAAATGAGAAATAGAAACAAAAGCAATTGCTGAGTTGGACGATAACATTTGGTACGGGGAGAATACCAACACAGGCACGACCACTCGCACCGATACACACACATCCCACACCCTCGCACTACATCAAAGAGGACACAATTATGTTCTCAGCAGAAACATTTGAAATTCTAATGTTAGTTGGTGTAAAACGTTGGGGGTAAAAACGGTATACGACATCCTAGCGAGTACTCGGACGAACGATTATTCACTATTCCGTATGAATGGGCCATAACACAACGAGCAAACCTAACGGTGTTTTCGAATATTAACCACAAAACAAACAATGTTTAGGTCGCAATTAAGTAAACAACATATTTGCGAGTGTTGTTAAATAGAACAAATTGTCCATGTGAATTATTATTGAAATATTACAATATAAATGAACAATACAACATAGCAATTGGATTTTGATTAAACACGGCTGGAACAATCGGACCTAATTTCTCCGGGTAATCATACCTATGGCCAATTCAATGTCGCCGATCCTGTTGCTGGATTTTTAATGCAAAATCTGAAGACATCTGTGAGAGAAACGCATATCAAATGGCAGACCCTTTTTACGGGGGGTTCTGTTGAGACATGTCGTAATGGCAAGAGAGGTGAGTTTAAACCTACGCAGTGATACCGAACACTGTTCTTTCCTACAATACGATGTTAAATATATTGCACATTACTGGATATGATATATAAACCTTAATAAGTGACTACAACAAATCTGTGACAAATTAATAAGAGCAAATATAAAAATAGCGTTTGGAGTGAATTGTAAAAAATACAGTAAAATCTCGCTAATCCGGACAATTGATTGCAGACCCCAATCCGTATTGTCAAATTTTCCGGATTACCAAGGTTCTTAAATTGGTTTCAATTTTTATTATTTTAGGCGAAATAAAATTATTCGTTCGCGTGGAGAGTAACTTGGGCATATATTTATTAGTTTTATAGTGTCATTTGTCGTAAGTGTGAACGCTTTTACCTAAAACAATATCAATAATAAATATTAAATTCAAATAAATAAATTTATGGGCAATTTTGCCAATTTTTTAACAATTTTTTAATTGATCTGTCGTTGCAAACTGTTCATGATAATGAACTCCAAACATTATTTGGGTGGAGGCTGTGCCTATTTAAATATAAAATGTGTGGAAATAGGTTGAGGCGAAACAGTTGTTTATGTTCTCTATCGATTTGTGACTAAGCTTTTCATTTCGGTCTTCGCGTCAAAGTAAAACTAGAAGTCAACAAAATGGCGGCTACGTCTCTTATTTTTATTTTTCAAAATTTTAACTGCAACTACCTTTAAATGATGCTGACATTTTGAAGCTCGATTTTGAGCGTTTTTTATAGCGATTACAAGATTATTGTAGTCGCGAATCTGAGTAATTTGATATATATTTTGTGTATGTAGCATGCACAGCTTCAGGATAATACTCATCCAAAGTTGAACATTTTGTGCGATCAAATTTCTAAAAAACCTATTTTTCGACCCAAATTTTTAGATCTGTCTATTGAGTGATATGGTTAACCGCGATCAGTAAGGTTTTTTAAGTTTCGGATGAAAATCTTCTTGGTGAAAATCCATCTACTAGAACAGAGGGAACTGGCCTTCCAAAAACAGAAATTTGGCAAAAAATGTTTTTGAAAATATCGCGGATTAATAGCATTTTCTGTGGATCATTACCGTTTCAGTAAATGGCCTGATACGGATTTTGAACTTTTGCGAAAACATCACTTTAAAAACTTCAGCCGAAAGAGAGATGTACCCAATTTATCTCATAAATAGAGTGAGCGGGGTCATCCATGGTTCTTAATGGACCACACTGAAATAGGTATAGATCGATGTATTTTTTTAGGGTACACACCGAAATCGGATGCGCGTTAAAGGCATATGGAGTTTTCGGAAGTTATTCGCGTTTTACGAGTTTTTGGGTACATCAATGCAACATGTAGTACATCTTAGACGTCAAATGAAATTTCGCAAAATATACATGGATTGGAAGATAAACTTCAGTACTTCCTGGAAACCGCATGCGGATCAAATGATTCCGAGAATTACGCGATTTATACGCAATTTAAAATGTATATTTCATAGAATTGTTTTATTTTATCATTTATTCCTATTTATAGAACCCCATTGATTTCATTCTGAAATCAATGAAAAATTGCATGTCAAACGGACAGACTTGGATTCTTTGGTGTCGAGTCAAATTATGTATGGGAGCTATATATAAACACATGGACCTAATTGAGTAACCGTTGCATACACCATTTGTTTTTTGTAATCACTATATTCAATTTAATACCCTCTGCCAAATTTCGTGTAAGCACCATTTATAAAAAATCGAACGAAAATATATATAATATTTCAACAAACCTTATCACGCATAATTTTTCTCAATAGCATTCCTATATATATATATATATATATATCTAAATCTGAACCGATTTAAAAAAAAACATCGGAGACATATATCTGAATATGATTCAGTACTCTGTGCAAAATTTTGTCTCAATTGGACAAATATTGGGAGTTTGGTGCATCATTCACAAAAAATCGGACGAAACCATATATGGGAGCTATATATAAATCTGAACCGATTTTAAGCGATTTCAAGTGTGGTTTCTGCGAGGTTAGTCAAAACTACTGTATCTACTAATTCTAGCAATTTCTGGTACATTCGGACCTTTGTTTTTGATTGTTATGTGTAATGTACAAATTGTTGCCAACTTAAACTCATTGTACATTAGAACTTTTTACCGGGTTATACGGCATTTACAGTACGTTTACATTTAACCGGATTTCGTTAACCCAGTGGGTTTCAATTGTCATTTCCTTTGCATATATGTCAAATAAATCCTCATAAAGTAGGTTAACCCGGTAAAAAGTTCTAATGTACAAGGAGTTTTACATTAGAACTTTTTACCCGGTTAACCTACTTTATGAGGATTTCTTTGGCATATATTCAAAGGAATTGAAAATTTAAACCCACTCGGTTAACCAAATCCGGTTCAATGTAAACGACCTTTTAACCTACTTTATGAGGATTTATTTGACGTATATGTAAAGGAATTGAGAAATTGAAACATATGTCAACTTATATACAAAATGTGTGCAAGTATGTGTTGTGTGTCCAAAGATACGAAAAATATTTTCAATGTAAGTCCTTTGAAATGTGCATTTTGAAAGGTCCGTGTAGGATGATTCAGTATCACAATTTTATTTCCAACTCCATTTTGTGAAGAAAATCCGACACTTCATTAATTAATTCATTAAAAACTATTTTGTACTTTGTAAAATTGTAGAATTACAAAAGTCGTTATAGGAGTCCTCCAAGGTCATAGAATTTGGGAAAATATATCCTTAAATATTGTACATAGCGTTACATCCTTGATATCTATCCTAAATGTTAATGCTAATAGTAAAATATGCTTCAATTGCTGTATTTTGTTTCTATTTTTTTTTTTCATTTAAAAGTGGCACAATGTTTAATATTATTTTAGAGAAACATAACGACTACATTTTTGAAATTAAAAAATATAATAAGATTTTGGAAATAAAAATAGATGTCATAAAAATTAACAAGTACATCATCAAAAACATAAACAATTTACTTGAATTCAACATATTTTACATACTCTACTTAAAAAATATGTATAATGTAAAAAATATTACCTGAAGATCCTTGAGCTAATCAACATTTTTATCGATTTCACAATTTTTTTTACCACATTTTGCTTATACCTTATACCATGGTACAATAATACAAGCTAGGGCAGCTTGAGGTCAATAACAAAAAAGCAACTATGCACATGTGGCTTCTTCTGCAAGAAATAACATACATATTCGCAACAAGTGTTTGTGTTTATTCGACATTTTTCAACACAAAACTAAAAACGCGAAAAATGAATAAAATGTTATGATTTCTTCCCAAAATCCAGTAGGGAATACCATAAAATGTTTGTTTCATCCATAACAAAGTAAGTACTTCCCGACGACCGTGATAAAAACCTCATTTTCATTTCAATTAAACTTGAATATATTTCAATTTATTTTGAATTTATTTGACATAGTATTCAAAACAATACACATCCATACACAAAATATGTATTTTGATTTGATGGAACAAGCCACCTTGAGAAAAAATTTTAATCAGTTGGCATAAACTAATGAAGAGATAGACGACGAAATGCTCTCACCAGTCCTCTCTGAATTGAGTCTGCTGAATGCGCTACTCAATTTTAAATGCCGATTTACTTAAATATTTGAACCTTTTAATTTGGAATGCCACTAAATATAGTTAGTTTTAATCGAAAACTATATCCTCAGATAAAATCATTAAAGAATAAAAGCTATTTTTTCCAAAAAACGTTTTTTACAAATTTTTGACTTTTTTATTTTGAGTCACCTGACTGCGCATTTTTTGAGTATTTCGTCGTCTATATTTTCATTAGTCTATGCTTATACTTATACATAGCATATTTTTATAACAGCCCTATCTAAAATTCAATTAGCTCGTTCGACGTTTTTTCACCACAAAGGTGGAACACATGTATTTATATGAATGTTACCGAAATACGTCGACGTACGAATTTTCAAAGTTGAAAATATTCAACTATGCCAGAACATATTTTCATTTGTAAAAAAAAAGAAAGACAACATAAATGAAAATATGAATTGTTTAATAAGAATATGAAATAATTGGACGCATTTTATAATTTTTCTAGTGTATTGCTCGATTTTGTTTAGCTAGCTAAGAGATGTGGACTCGGCGTATTTGGGTAATACGGTGGTACAAACCATTTCGCCATACTGGGGAAGTTGAATATTTTTGTAACCTCGTTGGATTTTAGGTAACGTTGTAAGGTGTATTCAATTCATTCAAAATTCCTTAAGTCTATTGTGACATATATACATATGTGGTCTATGTTATGGTGTTTGGTGATAGTAGGTTAGAGAAATATATAGTCTTCCAAATCACAGACACTCTAGTTGAAAAACTTACAGCCTTACCTAAAATTCAACATGTATTTATATGAATGTTACCGAAATACGTCGAACGTGCAAAATTTCAAGTTGAAAATTTTCAACTTTGACAGAACGTATTTTTCATTTTTTTCTTTTGTTGAAAATAAAAACAAAACATTCGGGAAATTTGAAATTTCGAATGGAAACTAAAAAATTGTGGATTAATTTAATAAATTTTCAATTTAGGTTTGCGGTTTGTATTATTTGCTTGCAGATATGGATTCGACGTATTTGGGTAATACGGCCGTACACAACATTTTGCCATAGTGGGGAAGTTGAATATTTTTTTACGCCCCGTCGCACAGTGGGTTAGAGTACCATGTTTTCTTGGATCAAATCAGGGAAGCTATGTTAGAATAATTTTTCTTTATTTTTCAGTTAATACCATTAAAATAAGTTAAAAAAAATGTTTTCTAAGTATATTTGAGTATAATTTTATTAAGTAGTGCCAAATATCAGTGTAGGTATATAGTGCAAGGAGTACAATATGATAACTTAAACATTGAATTTTATACATCTTAAAGTTACTCATCCACATCGTCATCATCCGCAGCCGGGGATGGTCCGTATGAC